AAGTCTCATTCGTCGTCTCTAACGCTGTTCAGCTCGGCATGTCTCTATTTTTTTTTTTTTTTTTTTTTTAACGAAACATTCACTTATCATTGCAAAAATCTCAGAGCGAGGCCGGCGGCGTAGCATCTTTTTGTCTTCTGTTCTTTTTGATAGCTTAGCATCAACCAGCGCTGTCTCGTAAAATGCATGTGATCGTCGTCGCGTTCTATCGAAGATGACGAATATGGTTAATTGAATATGAGAATTGAAGGAAACAACTGAATGTAATATTTGAATGAAGTTGGCGAGGATCAAGAATGAACAACGAAAATAATTGGACCAGCGATGGATGGCAGCAGTGCTTGGAACTGCAGCTTGGAACTGCAGCTGACTCTCTTCCTTGCCTTTTCCATTTCGCTCGAAGAACTTCCTCCTTACGTCTACCCATCCTAGTTGCCGTAATGATACGCGAGGATGGTCTAAATTCTTCCTCAGACAGAACGGCGAGGCCACGGCTCTTGTGGTAGGTGAGTGAGTGGGTGGGGAGTTACCGGATAAGCGGTAGAGATCCTTGAGGAGCGTAAGATACGTGCGGTCGTGTAGGTGGGGTCTTTGGATGCATCGGTATTCAGGAATTGAGATGTGTGTGTGTGCGTGCGCGCGCGCTCGCGCGAGGGAGAAGACACCAGGGCATGACGCAAAAGGAGTAATGACGCGACAGCATCGGGGCAACTCACCCTGTTCATGGGGGGTGTATGAGAGAGAGAGAGGGAGGGAGAAGACGCTTTTTTCTTTTGCGGTTGTGTGGGATTTGGTTTTGCACGTTGAGGAAAGCGCATCGGGGCTGAAAACGTTCCCTGTGTTTTCTATGACTGTCGGGATAGTAGTTTTGTTTCACCAGAAGGAAGACGACGGCGCAGGCAGACCAGGCGGCGCCTCTTTCCTTACCCTTCTCTCACTCTCCTCTTTTTCAGCTCTTATCGCAAATCTCTACCTCCTGTAGCCTCAGTTTCATGGGCGCTGGTTCTCTTGAAGTGGACTTGAAAGTGGAAACATGGAAGGCTGTTTAGACACCAGTGTTGGTTGTAGAAGCCATTCGGCCAATGATAATTGTTGAAAAAGTATGGATGAGTGACGTCGATCAGTGAACGGTTGATGAGTTGATTGATTGGAAGTTCGTGGGGGGGGGGGGGGGGGGGGGGG